ATGCAGTTGGCGCCAAATATGTGCCGATAACCCAAACAACTGATTCATATTATTCACAAAGGAATGGTTCTTAACAGATGATTTAGGGTTGGTGGTGAGCTTGATTTCATCATCTCGGTTCAGATTGCTATAGTGTTGTCTCCACTGCATCTCGACTTATCATCATCATCATCATCATTATCATAAGGTCGTCAGTTCTATGATTGGTTAGACACGCACCTCCACTCTTTCCTATTCTAAGCTAATCTTCGCATTTCCCTAAAAGTAGAGCATCCCACGTCCTTAACTATTGCGAACAGTAATCTAATGAAGCTTTACATCTACTCCTCTTAACTTCTATTTCTGCTTATTATATGTCTCTGTCTAGACCTTCATACCTGAGAAAGGTATCCTTCCAATCTATCTCGCCTATTTCTTATTGACTTCTATAGAGTCCTTTGTTCTGCTTTTCTTTCTAATACCTCTTCATTTCTAACCTTTTCTATCCACGATATCCTCATCATTCACCTGTAACACCTCATTTCGAACACTTCTAACCTTTTCTTTTCCCCCGCGTCCACCGCCTATGTTTCACACCTCTACTGCTCCGCGCTCCAACTCATGGCAATGATATGCATTACTTCTAACTATCACATTTGTAAAACTGTGGTCATGGAAAGGAAACATTGTCGTACCGCACATGTATATTGCAAGATATTTTGAACAGAAAAGGTTCAATAGAGGCACTCTGTTGATGTAATTTAATAGAAGTAGATATTTTAATTAAATTAACATTCTTAAATCGACCTAGGTATAATATTTGAGATAGTTTATTGACGTTTTTACTACTTTTCGATCTTTGAAAATACAAAATGGAACAGCTCGATTTTTATTCAGAAAAGAAGTGACATGACGGAAGGATTAGAATTTATTTTTGCAAATTGATCGTAATCCTTGTCTGCCAATTGTGGAAAATAAAATTTATTTTCTTCTCAGATGGTTTAATAGCATCCACTTCTAAAGGATTATTCAAAAGATAAGAGACGAAAGAAGATTGTATTTTTTCTTTTGGCACACGTCTATTATTATTAATGGATCCAGCTACTTACCTCCGGTTAGTAAGATAATAAATCGGCATAATTAAAACGGGATTAAGCAGAACCAAGCTTTAATAATTCTAACAGATAACGTCCTTCAAATGTCTCTCATGTCATTACTTTGCATTTTTATATTACATAATATCCATCCGATCGGGCATTATTCCTTTTTTCTCCGTCATTCCGTTGCATGTTTCGCTCGCGCCAGCGTCGAGTCCATCATTCACTGTCTCCGACTCGATCCATCTAAAAAGTGATGCCAAACGATAACATCAAGCGAACGGTTGGGTTGGTTGGCCAGATTCCAGGGACTATCAAAAACTAATTAAAAAACTTAGATCGCTCATTAATGGTACAAATTTTTAAGAACTTTTCCCGGGGAATAATTTTTAATGAAGTTCGGTATCAAGATCCTTTGGCTGGATTACAGACGTTCCTTTCCATCATAATCTTGAGCGTCAATAAATTATGACAAGAAACAGCAATGATTAATGTTAACAAAAAAAAACTGTTAAAAAGTTACTTAACTGTACGCATGGTGCTCTCTTACGACTGTTATCTAATTGTTTTGTAACTAATGGGTTATATAAAAAGTAATTATCATATTATTTTCCGGTCTTTTCAGTCTTTTTAACGCTTTGTTATAAAAAAGCCGATTCACATAAGTACATGTATGGATCCAATATAAGAATCAATGTTTATACATTCTAATTATTAAAAGTTTATTTTACATTATAGTTGTCGCTCTAACCAATGTTGTTATAACCACTGTATCTAATTACTTCAAAACAGAAATAATAGACTAAAGATTTTATTAATACGTAGCAATTATAATAACCAAAATCCTTTATCAGAGTAGAAGTTGTGCTGCAATTGCTAGGTAAATATCCTCAGTGTCTGAAATTTTATTTCTCACTGTTATAGTTCAGCTTTTCCATAATTGAGATTTCGAATTGTTTGTGTAATCTTTATGAAAATATTAACAAGTTAATTTACTCAACGTAACGCTTGTTGCGAAATCTAGTAATGTTTTCAAATTGATTCGTTGTCCTTGAGTTAAATGTAATTATTGCCAGTAGAATCTTAATTAACGGTTCAAAGGTTAAGCCATTTATACTTGCACGTTGTGAAATTCAGTAAAAGACTAAATAACGTTAAAATTGTTTTACTGTTTCGAACATATTTGTTACAATTGTTTCGTTCTTTCGAATATCCTCAGATCTACTACGTATTAGAAACTGTTTAATTATACATTTTTTCATTTGTTTTGCGATACGTCAGTATTACCGTCATTTTTAAATGCAATTACAACGGCATGACAGTAGGTGGTATTGGAATATAATTAAATAATAAAGAAATCGTTGTACGCGTGAAGACGAGTTTTTGTACAGTTTTTGTATATAAGAAATCGTTGCAATGTTCATTCGAGGCATGCCGACCAGACCGGAATATTGAATAGGAGGCTGGTGGTCTTGGTGTACATGATTCAGGAAGCAAAGCCAACGCTGATTAGGATGCATCTGAGGTCCGTCTTATTGAATCCTGACCAGAGAGAGGAGTGCAACGGTAGCAGAAGCGCATATGTATTTGTATGCGCGTGCGTCTGTTTGAATGCTTGTGCTACGGATTCTCGTGCAAACACACACACACACATACACGTTTGCATAAGGACGGGCACGAGAGCTTGCTTGATTGAAACATTAAACTACTGTTATTAAGGCCTCGTCGATGGCACTTACTAAGATTAGCTTAATGTTGCAGTAAGGTCGGTATTACGTACACACACAAGTACTGTGCACACAACGTATCTGCATGTCCTACATATTAAATGGTAACTAGATATAAATAGGATTCGGAATTCTAAAGGATTTGTTATGCACATATTAAATACAATGCTTTTCAGAGTTTATAAGCAAAACTGCAGTAATGTTTAGTGATACAGAAAACGAATTCAGATTATTGTAGCGAGCACGAGCGTGTCTGTGTGCGATCGGGCACACGTGTGCATGAACGGCTTATCGATTCGCCGACTAGCCGCGGGCGCCTTTCTTCATGCGCGCCGTATTTGTAAATGTGTGTGTGTCGTACCTGCGTTCTGGGAAAGCAGTTAAACAGTTCAAAGAAAAAAGAAACTATCCGGATGTTTCTAGAAGGTTTCAGAAAGTAAACAAAAGAGTATTTAAAGGAAGAGACGATCGCCGAGATAATCAGAAATAAATTGGCAGTGATAGCAGTGAAATAAATAGCGCAGTGAATCGTGATATATCAACAGTAGTCTAAATAAATAGAAAAAATCATAACCTAAGTTTAGTAATAATTTAATAGTGTTTTTAAGTTCTTGAATAACTAGTGTAAATAAACAGTTTTTGTTGTTATCACTCTTAAAAGTTAATTTTTTTAAATCCACGAACATTACATTATACATTTGTAGCTACTGACCACACAGAAAGTTATGACAGGACCAGGCTTGACCAAAGATTTTCCAATATTTTACTAAGTATGACAAGGAGATATCCGCTTTGTTTTTATTTATATTCACTGTTGTAATCACTCAGTCGGAAAGAACCGTTAGTTGGTTGTTTCCCGAACAATTGCACAAAAATGAAGGAAACATTTCCATTTCGTTATGTAGATAATTTCGAGCCAAAGACATCGGTTTCATGAGTAAAAGTTGAATCAAAATAAGGGACGAAATTACGCTTTTAGCTTTTAGCGGCGTGACACGAGCAAATGGATAAAACGAACGGACTCAAATGGTATACTGTACAATCATTATTGCTATTACTACCCGTGGCGCGAGTCCTATTAAGGTAATATAGTACAGTAGACTATTCCATGCAATCTCGATACGCACGAGAAGCAAATAAGGAGTTTTCGAGGAATTGCACTTTTTCGAGCGTATTTTTGTATGCAAGAAAGTATTGAATTTTTAAATATATCAAAGGTGGTCCCATTTAAATTCGAAGAATATATTCCACTTCTAAGGGCGAAAAATTAAGGGATAATTCGTGTTTTAGACTTTTGAGTTATAGATTGTATCCATATATCTATAGGCAAAGTTTTGTAATCGGTTTTTATAAATTATAGTTATAATTACTTATTAAGAATATTTTTGTATGTGACACTTGAGGGTTTGAGGGGGTTTCACTTCATAGTAAGTAAGTAGCCCATCGGCTCCTTTTAAATTGGCAATATCAAAGCCTAGTTATGTTGAGCTGCTATGCTTCATTGATTGCTTTTTTTAGATTACCGTGTTATCTCATTCATTATTTACTTTCTTGATTTCGGAAAAATTGTTCTTCCTATCGACAGGAAAGATTTGCCCGTAGGGGTGAAGCTGTGGAAAAGAAAGCTGGCCGTTCTGAAAAACTGTCCTTCATGTCAACTAAAAAGATTTACCTATACGAGCGAAGCTATGGAAAAGAAAGCTGGCCGTTTGGAATGATTATCCTTCATGTTAACTAGAAAGATTTTCCCATATAGATGAGGTTATGGAAAAGAAGATTGGCCGTTTGCAATGATTATCCTTCATGTCACCTAAAAAGATTTGCCCCGTACGGGTGAAGCTATGAAAAGGAAAGCTGGTAGTTCGAATATATTGTCCTTCATGTCAACTAGAAAGATTTGCCCGTAGAGGTGAAGCTATAGAAAAGAAAGCTGGCCGTGCGGAAAAATTGTCCGTCATGTCAATTAGAAAGATTTGCCCATTTAGGCGAAGCTATGGAAAATAGAACTGGCCGTTATCATTCATGTCAACTAGAAAGATTTGCTCATTAGGGCGAAGGTATGGAAAAGAAGGCTGACCGTTCGGAAAGATTGTCCTTCATGTCAACTGGAAAGACTTTCCCAGGCTGAACTAATCGGTACTAATATTTCGCTGCTGGTAAATGAAAGGGTCATTGGATACTAAATATTTAATTTATTTGTACAAAGTCAATTGGCTTTTTAACTAAAGCGCCACATCGTAATCATCCATTATATAGTTCAAAACCCACCAATTATTCATAAATCCGAAATCCAATACACGTATTTTAGGAAACGTGTAAGGAAACTTGAAGTATTTAATTTCTTTTCCAAAATATCTGTAATTCTCCTCATCAATTGTCCACATAAAGGAAGCAAGCAGTAAATTAAGTCTTCTAATTAGACCTTTCTGATGACATTGTTGGATAAATTTTACGTAATTCTCAGCTTGAGGTTTCCTTAGCGATTTGGGTAAAAGGGCTATATCGTTGGCCGAATTTAGTACAGCACTCCAGTAATGTCTTTCGTCAGGGTTGATTTTGTATACTTGCCACGCAGCAGCACTAAGGAGGGCTATATAAATGGACTGAAAAGGGTGGTCCCTTATGTCCTTTATTACATCAATTCCAACCTACGAGTAAAAGAAATGTTGTATGTTGTAAAGAAGAAATAGCTTTTTCAATTTTTATGTATTTATAGTATTTATAAATTACGGAAGAAGGTCACAACATGAGCTGCTGGAATTGAATAGGTGAATTATGGAAATAGTAGGAGTAATTTTCACTAGATGAAAATTCATATTGAAAGTGAAACTTAGCCGTTATTGTTAATACTACTCGATTGACTTTGTGGCCAAAAGTGCAAGTTTGCTACAACGATCCTATATGTGGGATGTTGGTGCTTCAGGAACCGAGAAGGTCAAAAGTTAAAGGAGTTAAGTTAAGATGTCAAAGCTGCCATGAACTCATGTCATATTGAGGGCTAATATGGTTGGAGGAGGGCAGTGCAGGTAAAAAATTAAAAACATATTGGAAAAGAAAGTAACCTAACCTTACCTATTCTAGAATACGTCAATTTCTTTTCCAATGAACAATGAACACATGTCAGTAATTCGACCCATCGCGGGATTTTAGCAATTTTTGATTGTCGGGATTTTAGACAGTCCAGATTTTGACTATCGAATTTATGACAGTCGGAATTTTGAAGCCACGGAATTTTATGTACTAACAACACTTGTGGTTTTCATTACAGTCTAATATAAATGTTATCAGTTAATATAATGAGAGTTGAAGGTAACTTTGACTTCTTGGGATCCAGCATCCCAGTTCCCTACCAAACTATTCCTTAAGCTTCCCCTGCACTTCCACATAGGTTAAGAAACAGTCTCCTATCAGCCAGGGCACTTACGCAAGGAGCTTTATATTAAAAAATAAATACTATTGAAAATCTGTGTATTTCGAAAGGATTGACCAACATTACCTTAATGATGTGACAAGTATACCTAACAGTATTCCACTTTAAGAACAAAAAGTCACGTGAACTCTTTTAATCCAAAATTCCTATTTGTAGATATTCAGAATCTAACCTGTGTATATTCCTTGTATGTAGTTTTCCAATAGATAATCCACTTTTCAACAACCGTCCCCTTGGAAGTCTCATCCAGTTCTTTACCAATATCTTGAAGGGTCACGCCGGCCCTATGAGCGGTAGCTTTCAATTTTTGTCCAATTTTTGAGCATGTGTTCAAACTCACTTCAAGGGCTAGCTTGTAAAATTTCAGCGCCGCTGGCTTACTAATATAATAAAAACGGTTCATTAAAAAAATTGACATGTCAAACAGTTCATCATAGATGTCAAAAATGGTTATGTAATTTCTCATGACAGCAAACATTTTATTAATCAGGTGGTTCATCTTTCTCCATTAATTTTATTCTAGATTTTGGTTTGAATTTGTTCTTCAAGTAGGAAGAACCCTCTTCAGTTATTACTCCCTTAGTAGTTTTCAAAATTCTAGACCTTTTTTTATAATTTTCATTTTGACGAAGCAGTTTCTACTTTGAAAGCAAAATGTATTCTATCTAACTTGCATCTCAAGATATTTCTATTTATTATTGACGAAAACCATCTATTCAGAAGTAGTGGTGACATATTCAATATAAATCAACCATGTTACCAGTGGGGATGCTGCTAGTTAACAACGCAACCGTGAAGCAGACCCATTGAAGAAATAGAAGCCTTCTACTTTGACCGCGAAAGCCACATAACTACAGTTGAGAAGGCTCCTTAATAATTACATATCCTAAAAGTTTTGTAAGTAGGATTTCTACATATGTCTTAGATATAAACTTGAATAAACATACTTACCATTTGAGATTTATAGCGCTCATCAAGACAGGGGTTATAAACAGAAATTAATAAAATGTTGATAAAATAAAACTAAAAACACTAAAAAGTCAATAAAAAATTTGAAGGTCAGTTTACCGATGTACCACTCAATATACTACGTAATTCTCTTTACAGTCACTTCGTATTTTATGGCTGCAATTTTGATTTTATATAAGCAAAATTTAACCTATAACCATCGAATGGTTTAGACAAATCGGTTGACCCCGCACTGATTAAAATCCGTCCAGCTGTTTGGATGCTTCGAGGGAATAAGGAATCCCACATACATTATGTTAATATGCTTACTTGGTGAGCTTGTAAACTAACTGATGGATATTTGTGAATATAGAAGCAGTCCAAATGTCTGATTTGATATATATTCTTAGGATTATACGAAGTGACTGTAGTGTAACCTTATGATTCTAAGTGTATCCGACAAACGATACATCAAAAAATAGAACGATAAGCATAGTGAATCGGCTCTAGATGTATATCTGGATTATTTTTTGAGGGTATATTGGTACTAATGAGATATGTTAATCTTGAAAATTTTAAACCTTTATCTATTTTGTTTTTTGAATAAATCTCAAAAACCGAAAAATAAGAGAATAGATAGAGGTCTAAAATTTTCAGAATTAATGTATCCCTTTAGTACCAATATACCCTCGAAATAATCTGGGTATTCTCTGGAGCCGGTTCACTATGCTTATCATCCTATGGCCTTTCCCCCAAAAACCAGTACTCGATACGTTGAATTGAATTACAATATTACAATTTTGTGATGTAACTACAAAATCATTTTCCTTGTATTTGTGCTATAAGATATTACTTCTTGATTTTAATTTCAACTTCATACGTCCGCGTGTTCCTGAGAAAAAGAGTCTGGACAGGCAGACTCACGGAAAACGAAGTGATCCCATAAGAAGGGCCTCCTTTTCCTTTTGATGTACGAAACCCAAAAATTAAACAACCCCGTGGTCAGTATGTTAGAGTATTGAGATTTTGCATATGTATTGTACAAGGTGAAGGGCGTCGCCATTTAAATGTAGTTCAGATGATATTAATTGCTTTTTTAGAAATAAAAGCACATAATAACCGTGATTTCCATTGCAGTTCCGTATGCTATTCAAAGTGTTAACGATATATATTTACATTCGGGTATTTGTATTTAATACCTATCTGTTCAATGCCTACATCTATTGTTTAGGTCAATAATAATGAATATTAAACATATGCAAAAGGCAATACGTTTACTCATTTAAATAATTGTTTTGGCGCTATTTTCCTACGCACGCTATTACCATGATTTAATTTTATCTCTTTACTTTAGAATTTCAGTGGTAGGCGTTGTTTCAAACCTTGGAGGTGTTAAAAAGGAACTTAATCTATTCCTTGGCCATTTAAGAAATCTTTCTTTTTTGACATTATGTTGAAAATATTGTAGTTGTTGAATATAGAAGCGATAAAACTAAAAAAAAAAAGAAATGTCTCTTATAGTATACTTTATATTAATGCTGTAGAACCTCGTGAAACGATTGAGCGGCATTGAGACCCTGACCGGTTTCCGTTTTGATCGGTTAATCGGAGACGCCAGACCGGGTTTTTGTGTTTATTTAAATGATTGAAACTTGTTAGAATATGAAGAACTAAAAAAAGACAGTAAGATTTTTTATTGCAAAATGTGTCGTTTTCTTCAAAAACGATTGTTGTAACTAAATGAGACGCTTGTGGGATTGTTAAATGACTAAAAAAGTTAAATTGTGAATTAAGTTTAAACAAAACATAGTACTATGACTAAAACAAAAGAGGGTCGGTCTTCAAATACACAATCAATCAATGTCTGTCGGATGCCGAAATCAAAAATTCGGGATTTTTTAGTTTCTTGTTCTACTTTCATGGTTTTACAGGTGGTACCCTAGCTAAAGCGTACTTAAATTAGATTTCGATTTTTACCATTATAGTTCCTTACACGAACACTGAAGCAAATCAGGGCATGAAAGGAATTGTGTGTCAGGACAACAAAACAATATATTAAAGTGAAAATATTGACTCAAAACGTGAAAACTTTAGCAAAAATTATTGGAATGTTCAAATTTCTATTAAATGGATCATTTAAAACTTTAATTGTTGATGAGGGATGTAGGGATGAGATACGGATATAGAAGAGTGATACATAGTTTGTACAAAGAGCAACAGGCAGTTATAGAACTTAAGCAGCAACTTACAGAAGTAAATATTAGGAAAGGAATCAGACAAAGATGCACACTGTCACCACTTTTTTTTAATCTACAAAGGTAAATGATTAGTATGCCTACAATTAGATGCAATATTTAACATCAGGCAAGGAGGAGTTAGAGGTAGTTTAATATTATGGTAATGATAATAAAAAAAATGCAAGCGGTATTGACAAAACAGTATTGTATATAAAAAAATAAAAGTAATACAATAATACTGATATGCAAGAAAGGCAAAATAAGTTGAAGAGCTAGTACAAAGGTAAGAGACAAAAAATTAAAGGTAAAATTAAATCGCCTTTTTAAGAAGCCACTTCTATGCTCGCGAACGATTAATTTAGAAATCCGAAAAAGATGTGTGTCTGGAGTGCAGCGGTTTGTGGGGCGAAATATGGATGGTGGACGCAGTGGAAAAGAAAAGGTTAGAAATGTTCGAAATATGGTGTCGGCAGAGAGGGTTAAAAATTAGAAGGTATTAGAAAGAGTAGGAGTAGAGAGGTCACCATGGAGGAACTCAGGATGGAAGGAGCAGTAGAGATATAAAGCAGAGGATAGCGTAGAGTCGAATCGCCTTCAACAGAAAGAAGGCACTTCTATGCTCGCGAACGATTAATTTAGAAATCCGAAAAAGATGTATGTCTGGAGAAATATCGACGGTGGACGTAACGGAAAAGAAAACGTTAGAAATCTTGGAAATGTGGTGTCGGCAGAGAGGGTTAAAAATGAAGAGGTGTTAGAAAGAGTGGGAGTACAGAGATCACTAAGGAGGAACTCAGGATGGAAGGAGAAGTAGAGATATAAAGCAGAGGATAGCGTAGAGTCGAATCGCCTTCAACAAAACGAAGTTACTTCTATGCTCGAGAACGATTAATTTAGAAATTCGAAAAAAATTGTTAAAAATGTGTGTCTAGAGAGCAGTGCTTTTTTGGGTAAAATATGGACGGTGGACGCAGCGAAAAAGGTTAGATTAGGTTAGAAGTGTTGGAAATACGGTGTCGGCAGAGAAGGTTAAAAATGTGTAGGTATTAGAAAGAGTAGGAATACAGAGGCCAGTACGAAGGTCAATAATAAATAGACAAGATGGATTTGTTGGACACCTCAGGCATGAATGGCTGTTTAGTGACATATTAGAAGCAGAAAAAGGCGTTGAGAGGAGTAGCAGTAAACCTACATTAGATCATTCACAAATAGTTAAGGATGCCGGATGTTCTAATTTTAGGGATATGCGAAGATTAACTGAAGGTAGATAAAGATGAAGGTGCGCGTCCAACCAGTTTTACGACTGATGACCTTATGATGATGATGATAATTTAACTGGAAATAACTTATCTTCACTTATTAATTATTTTATCACCGAAATAGTAGATCGAAAGTATGTCAAATGGGGTTGCTAGGTATATGTATAGGTAGGTATTAAAAAAAAAAAAACAATTTAATTGTCGCATGTCACCGACGCGCCCTAATATGTTACAGAAGATAAATAGATCTAAAAACAAACAGAGTTCTTGTTTATACAATTAGCTGTGAACCACAATAACCATAACTAATAAAAACGTAATTATTTGTGGAGCATGTGTGTATTGTTTACGGGTACCTATATACGGTTATGTGTATGCATTCCGTTGATATACGTAATTTAATTAATTATTCCGTCGTCCGGTTGATATGTTTCCTGTGTATCTTCATTATATTTATCTAATAATTCATTGCATTGCCGACGTTAATTACAGAATTTACGAGTGGAACCTTGTACGCGCATATATTATTTAATTTGCTTAACGCCCCTGTCTATCTGTTTGTATGTTTGTGTGTGTTTGTTATAATGCTTCTGCTTATTCACTGAAAATAACTAGAGCGGCGAGCGCCAGGTTTTACTGCTTATAGTGTCCCTTCCGTTCGGTTCGTTTAACTTATAATTTTTTCGATGGCATATGTCTATACAGCTTTATATTCATTCCGTTATGATTTTACCTCTACAGGTATACAAACAACAAGTGTCTTTCGATTGGTTCTTCACACTGAATAAGCGGGAACTAAACTTCTTATTGTTCTTCAGTCTGAATGAATCCTTATACTACAAACTACACTACTGTAGCAGTCGCTAGAGATTTCAATGAAGTACTGCTTTGGAATGCATAGCATCAAAGGTGTTTTTGTTCGTCTTGTTGACTGATTACGGTCATCTAATTGGTTTCCAATGATTAAATCGATAATCTTTGAATTTA